ATCTTCAAATATTATATATGTTCTTTCTCATTTTCTTTTTGTATAATATTTTTGAAATAATGTATTTACAAATAAAACTAAGTTACATATTATAGTTGAGAAACTATCCTCAGAATTTTATGATTTATAAACTCCTTGGTTTTATTAATTTGATAAATATCATATTCTTGTTAATTGTATCACTTACATTTTCTAACAAAACTTCCCAAAGAAAAGAAATATACTTATATTTGAAATCCAAAAACAACTAAAAGAGTTCACATTTTTAAGATCAGATTTTTGTTTCTATTTTATTATATACCATACTTATTTTTATTATATTTTATTATAAGCATAATGATAGAATTTAACACCAATACATATGTAATATTCTTCCCAAACAAATGACTATGAATTAAATCAAGCATGTAATTTAGAGAAATCATAAGGTTGCCAGAGAAACTGTCAATATGCCAAATGTGCAAAATCCTACCACATTCATGACCATGTTTCTCATTCAATAGTGCACACATATGTGTAAAAACATACCCCCCACACATATACACAATGCATATTTTCTACAATACAAAATATACTTTGGTATAATAAAACAGTCTTATTCTTATAGGACAGCTTACATGGTTATAATAGTCTTAAAAGACTCTTTCCCTAAGAACTGTTATATTTAGTGTTGTAGAGAGGGCTAAGGCCAGCTGGTTTCTTGAACCCTTTAGGCCTCACTTTCCTGTGTAGGTGTCTTGATTTTTCCATGAAGGCAGCTGAAGAAGAATTTCTTTATCTACCTGTCATATTTTTTAAAAAATAGTATAATTATTTAAACTATAAGTGCAACTTCCCCTTTAGCTGAAAAAAAGTTTTTCTTCTGTTATATCTTTGAATGTGTTGTTTGTTACATTTGTTTGTTTCACTATTTCAGAGATAACATAATCCAAAGAGTAGTTAATAGCATCTCAACTCCAGGTCCAAATATTCTATCTCTATATACTGTAATCTTTCTTTCATTCTTTTCATTCCTTATGATTATCCAATCTCTCCCACTCTCTTTACTAATTTAATTTAAAGATATATTCCTTTATTTTCCAACATTTTGGCTAGTTATATATTTTCCCATTTCTTGATTAGTTCCGCTATTATGATCTTTATTTCCTTAAATAGAAACCCTCTTCCATCTCTATATGATCTTCTCATCCTGCTGATTTCTTCCTTTTCTTTGTTATTTCAAGTCCCAATTTATCTTAGAGTCAAAGCATTTGTGGTATATATTTTGCACAGAAATGCACTTTTGCATTTTTTGATGTGTTTCTTGCAGCTTTGTTTCCACCCTGACATCTGTCTCCTACGTGTTTCCCTTTTTCCTTCCTTTCTACCTTCCTTTCTTCTTTCCTTCCTCTTTTGACGGTGGTATTTTTGTGTAGTTGCCATGCCATTTGTTTTCATTTTATTTATTTTTGATCTGGACATTTCTACCTGGAAAAAAAAAAAAATAAATATATATATATGTGGAAAAGATTGGATCTTTGTGTCTGTCTGCTTTGCTACTGCCTGTGTGGTGGTAAAAGGGGGAAGCTCAGATAGAGCTGTGAGTGGTAGTGTTTGTAGCATTAGTTTCTGCTCTTTTCTGTAATTGTTCAATGTCCAAAACCTGAGTTTACTTTATAAAATTGGGGAAATATCTTTACCCTTGGGTTCTACCAAAGTAGTGGGTTCTGGACTGTTTTATCAACTGAGGGTAGAATTATAGAGGCAATATGCCCAGGCATTTGTTTTCCAGATCTAACCCAAGTCTTCTCAGGAGCCTTTCACTCTCGCCCAACAAAAGATGGAAAAGATAGGCAAAATCCAAGGAATTTGGCCACTATGCAATTTTTGAGAAGTGAGGAGTGTGGGTGGTGGTAACATCAAATGGGACTTTCCATGTGTATCCTGCCAGTCACTCCATCACAGGAACCTGTTTTATATGCTTAATTTTTACTTAATTTCCTTACTGGTAAATGCCTTTATATTGTTCAAGGTTAGCAACTCTGATAGAATACTGTGCAATTGTTCTGCCTTTCCATTCCCCTCCTCACAAGTAAGAAAATTAAATGACAACATGGGCAGTTTTTTTTTCCTGTCCTTTTCCTATCTTTTGATGTCAGTATGGAGGAATGGAGAAACTTCTGTTATGAAGAAAGTTTCTGAATCTCCTCCACAGGCTGCCTACTCACAACCTCCAATCACTTCCTTCCCCACTTTTCTTTTTCCCTCATTGAGTTTATTGGTATATTTTAGGTATACAGTACAGTTACATTCATCATTGGGATCTTGTACCTTTACACGACAGGTCTTGGTTCTCATTTTTCCCCCTTATCCCAGCCCTCCCTTCACTCCCTCCTCCCTTCCCTATTTACTTTATTTCCATTTTTTCATTTTCTCATGTTTTTTCTTCTTTTCCCTTATTACCTTTCCCCTACCCTTCCCACTTCCCCTACATCATTTTCTTCCTATTTCACATTGTCAATTATATCATTAGGATCTTATGTACCATTATAGTTTTTCACACCAGAGAAACTATTCGGTATTTATACACGTGTGACTTATTTATTTCACTTAGGAGTATATCCTCAATATATATTCATTTTCCTATGGATGTAAATTGCACTCTTTGTCAGAATTTTTCTTCTCACACCTTTGTTTCAAAGCTCACTATTTACAGCTAGAAGTGGTGGCATTCTTAGAGGCTGAGACAGGAGTTTCAAAAGTTGAGTTCAGCCTGGGCAATTTAGCAACTTGGTGAGACCCTGTCTCAAAATGAAAAATTCAAAAAGGGCTAGGGATGTAGTTCATTGCCAAGGCCCTAGGTTCTATTCCCAGTACTTCCAAAACAACCCCCCCACACACAAAAACCAATACTCATCCTTTGAGGGAGGAAGAAAACATGATCAAGGGTGAAAGCCCAACATTTATTCCCAATAACTTCTGCCTTTTGCTGGCCATTCCTTTTAAAGAATATTGTCTTTTCATATATTTGAACATTACTCATATACTTTTTATTTTTTCCATTGTTAATTTGGCTTCTTTCAGGAGAAAGAGCCCGAAATCCACCAATTCCAGGATCACTCTTTCAGCAACTATTTTAACAAGCCCTAAGAGCCCCAACTTGGTATTTTTTGTTCTTTTATTTCTTCCTTTCTTTTTTCATTTCCCTTTCCCCTTTTCCCTCAGTAAAGAGAATTTTTCTAGGTAAAACCCCCTGATATGGCTTTTACTTTTTATTAAACTTTGTATGGTTCCATCTGTCATACAGAGTCCTCAGGAGCCCACCACTTGATGGCTGTATATGTTGGGTTACATAAATGTAGAGTGAAGTTCAAGGTGAAACAAGGTTCACCATCTGTCACATGGAAATATCAGAGAGCAATAAATGCTAGGAGAGATCCCAAGACTTGACAGATTGCTAAGAGGTCCTCTCCTAACCCTAAAGAGGGATTGTGATTGTCCTATCTCTGACTGATGGCCTTATAGTCTTTGTTTGGATATTTTGAACAGCAGGGAAGTTGTGAACACAATTCTGTTACCAGAAAGCTCAAAGTAGTTTAAAATTCTTTGCTGTGAGCTCTACTATATATCTTCTCTCTCCCTAGTGTCCTTGATAAGGCTGCTATTCACATGGTACCTGATCTTAGCTTCATTTTGTTTAGTGGGGTTTTTTTTTTGTTTGTTTGTTTTTTGTTTTGGTACCAGGGATCGAACTCGGACCCTTGTGCTTGCAAGGCAAGCGGTGGAGCCACTGAGCTAGAGCCACTGAGCTAAATCCCCAGCCCCTTAATTTCATTTTGATGGCTGCCACAATTACGTCTATAGTCTGGATATCTAGCTTGGTCTATAATCCTGGAAAATAATTAAAGTTGGAAAGATGTTAGGTTAAAGCCCACAAGATATAGTAAACCGTGGATGAAGAGAAATTCCTTCATACAAATGGAACAGTCATTGAACAGAATCAGGATACTTGATTTGACTCAAAGAAAAGAGATATGAGGCTTTTACTTAACTGTGAATAAACTGTGAACCCATAGTGAGGTTCAGTAGTCTACGTTGCACAAATAACAAATGTCAGTACCAAAGACATTTGCCTATGTCCTCCTAGGCTGAACTTGAGAAAAAGCACGTCTGGGCCTATGGGCAGCAACAAACCAGAGTGTGTGGGGCATGGAATGGTATTAGAGACTGTGGATCGTAGCTGGAAATGAGCAGCTGGAAAATGTGACTGGTGTCTGGAGGAGGGAAGCTTTAGAGAGCCACAAGAACTGTCTTCAAATGGGAAAAACTTATGGGAAAATGATACTTGGTTTGTTCTTTCTGTTATCAGAACACAGCTCTAGCACAGTTTCAGGAAGAAACAAAAGATTGGTTTTTGGCTCCTTTTATTAGTAGGCATCTATATACTTCTGAGAGCTGTAAAAGGTCAAATGACCTTAAGCTTTGTCCTGGAAAATCCCTGTTTCTGTTCCTATCCATAGGGGTATAGAACCAGATGCTGATTTCCAGGTAGGGACAGAAAGATAAAACTATTTAATATATTTGAGGAAGAACAATTAGGCAAGAGACCTCCTGAGAAGCCTGCCAAATAGAGGCTCCCCCCTCAAAAAAAAAACAAAACAAAATACTGTAGCCAAACAGCCAACCAGCTTCCAGTTGCCAGAAACCAAAATCTGATTCCAAGCACAAGATCCTATTTGGTACTGTGGAGAGCCATAGGAAGAAAGAATTTGGAGCAGATAGACCATGGTTTGAAGTTTTGCTATGGCATTTACTGGGTCTCTAATTTTGAACAAGTTACTTAACCTAAAATGGAATGATTAAGTTCTAGTTCTTTGGGTCACTGTAATAAAGATGACAATTACAAATCCCCTGGCACATAACTAGGTGTTATGGTCTTCCTAGCACTCTGAGGCTAGTTGCCCCTAGTACTACTGTAGTTTGAAACAGACACATTATAAGGAAGTGCTTCTGCTTTTCAGGGGTCCCTTCTGAACACTCCCCAGCTACCGATGAAGAAGAGTCGAAGAGTGGCCTGGATGTCATGCCCAATATTTCTGATGTGCTGCTGCGCAAACTGCGAGTCCACAAGTCTCTCCCAGGAAGGTAAAATCAGAACATGACTTGCAGAAGGCCCTGTTTTGGGTGGTCCTATATTAGATGTGGGCTTGGGCTGAAAGTCTTGGTTCTTAACCCTAGAAGAGCCGAAGTCCGATGGTCCAGGCAGGGGAAATGTATCCAAAACAAAAAGAGAAAGGGTTAGGCTGGTGTTTCCAACTCAAAGACCAGGTGGGTTTCAGAGGTGGGCACTGCCCTTGAGGAGACAAAGGTCACCAGAGGCTCCTGGCAGCAGAGGATAAGATGGTTTCAATCTGGATACACCATTTACCTGGAACTGGGAGAGACACAGTCTGAAATCTGTGTAGACAGAAATGTACAACCACATGCAGAAGAACTGCTTAGAGAGCCTACCAGACTTCTTCCACTCATGTAGGGAAAGTGCCTTTGCTTTCTGAGCTTCAGTCTCATCACCTGTACAAGAGGGGTCACCAGTGCTCTGTCACTGGTAGAGTGTGGCACTGGCCAAACGAGGTCATGTGTGAGCAGGGACTTAGGGCAGAGTTAAAACAGGACAGGTGCTTGCAGACATGAGGCAGTGAAGTTGTTAGGAAGACCAGAAGTGGAGACATGGCAGTGAAACCCTTCCATGGGTATGGCATCAAGAAAGGCCTCTATCATAAGGTAATAATCAACCTGATATAAGGTGATAATCAATGACAACAGGAAGGCATCCACACAAAGATTTTGGTAAAGAGATTTCCAAACAAAAAGAATGGTAACTTCAACAAATGATTCTGGAACAAGTCGATAGCCAAATGAAAAAGCGTGAAGTTAAAACCTTGTCCCACACAAAAATTAACTCAGAAGGGGCCATAGATCTAAATATAAGATACTCTAAAGCTTTTAGAAGAAAACATAGGAGAGAATTTTTAGGACCTTGGATTAGTTGATGGTTTCTAGATGCGACATGAAAAGCACAAGCAACAAATTTATAAAAATCGGTAAATAGTTCTTCATTTAAAAAAAAATGCTATACTGCCATCAAGACAGTGAAAGGCAACTCTTAGAATGGGAGAAAACATTTCCAAGGCATTTATTTGATAAGTTATTTATCAATATATATTATAAATTGTATAATATATAATAAATATATATTAATATATAA